ATTTATTGTACTTATGAAGGTTGGGTCTCTAAGTGCTTGTCATTTTTACTGCTTATAGTTGAGCCGTTCTTCCTCAATATTGAAGATTTCTTCATGCTCACTTGATCTTGTGGAGTTCCAGTTATGAATTATACGACTCATAAGTTATGAGTCTCACAGTAACCACTAATGAAGCCTGCCAAGCAGTTAAATATCAAAGCAACATATATCAGAACTTTTTTGAGTATAGAGATAGATTCCAGCATTGCACTTCCCAGATATTTATTACATACTGTAAATTACATCATCGGCTGCCTCCTACACCGACAGTCTTGTACTCCAGAACTTAAACATCAGGTTTTAATAACCACAACTTGGAATCTTTTGATCATCGGAGAAAGATGAAAGGAAAAACTGCCTGCTGCAGACCCTCTGGTCAGTCAAAACAAAAAGAAACTTCAGAGAAAATCAGCGATGCATCAGGTGTTAATCTCAAATGAAATACACAGAAGTCACCCGTATTGTCTCCCCATTTTCTGTTCATTCAAAAATATCGCTAGGTTACTAGTTCTATTTTTTTTAAAGTATTTCATTGAAGGATCACAACGTATTACATGTAACTTGAAAGGTTTATCCAGATTAAATTGAGACATACTCACAAGATCAAATTTCACCTTTACTCCTGGGAAACAAAACTTTCTTTTTAAAGAAAGCAAAGTGTAGGTTGTAATGCTAAATAAAGTCTTCTCATCATTTTCTAAACCGAGGACAACAAGCCGATCTTCGCCCTCTCAATTTATGAAATATGGGCAGTTATTTGGGCTATATTTTCCAATACTCCAGTCAATACAATCTGATAAAGATCACTAGGAAGTTGCTTACTTTTTAGGTTTCTTGCTTTTGATTTTTCTACAAAAAATTAAAGCCATATAATTTACCCAGCTAACTGATTTAGGTGAATAAGTGATATGGTGGTGACCAAGCACCAGCAGCAGGATGGCTTCCTTTTGGCATTATGTACATCAGTTGGAGAAGCGAAAGGCTGACTTGATACAGGAAGAGAATCCAAGAATAACAGAGATTAATTCTCTGTTAATCCTTTTAACTACTCACCTGTAGTTAAGAATAAAATTTAGCTATGGGAAAAAAAATGCCATTATGCAACAAAAAAGTGTCACTCTCAATATGTAAAGTTACATTTTCATACATACCTATGCTAATTAAATAGAAAGTGAAAACTGAATTGACCATCAATATTTGAATTAGCCATAAGTATTTGTTTATTAACTGAAGTTATTTAAAAATTGGAAAGTATGGGAAAAAAGTAGCAATAAAATGTATCAAAAAGGAGAGAAGAAATCAATACTGGATATTGTTAAAATTAAACACCTAAGAATCCTTTGCAGATAAAATTTTCTGCTGAACAAATAGGAAAAAAAAATGAAATCGGAAAGCTTCCCCATTGATCAAATTCTAAAGTCAAGCACCAGAAAGTGAAACAAAGCTGAATTTCTTGTTTATCACTGATATTTTCTCTTTCTTTTTTACTCCCATCTCATCCCAATGGGATTGATCTCTCCACTGGCGCCAACAGTAGAGGCACACTGCAGACCCACCCTGTCAGTCAGGCGAAGAGCCTTTTCTGCTGTGGCTCTCGCACTCTGGAACATCCGATCCCTTGAGGTGATCTGCCCCCATCCTCTTCACCTTCTGAACGGGCTTTAAAACTTTTGGCTCTGCCGATTGGCCTGGGGACCAGATGGGAGAATGCCACTGTAGAAGTGGTTAATTGATTGATTAAATAATAGATTCCACTTCTTACCCATCGTATACTACTCCCTACTTTGGCCAATTCTTTGTTAATTTTAGGATTATATTTATTTATTGTTTTAATGTTATATAATGTTGTTTTACCATGTGGTAAGCCACCCAGAGTCACATGACAGTGAGATTGGTGGCCTACACATTTAATAAATAAATGATTTATTGGGGGGGGGAGAGAGGATATTAGAATAAGGTCTTAGAGGGAGTACCTGATAAGATTCATATATTCACAGAGGAAGGCTTTTGAATGTAAAATTATTGAGGCAGCAGTCCACATTTTTAAAATCACCTCTTGGTACAGATGTTGCGTATTGGAAGCTAGACAGCTAAGGAATCTTCTCTTCTACAGGAAACTTGCTGGTTTAACTGTTACCTGGTTGAGGCCGTCAACAGCAACAGTTGTAAACATAATAACAGCTTTTAAATCCTGCATTGGCTGAAATGGTCCAAGCATTTCATATCCCAACAGGCTTCAACCCAAAATTAAAAGCAAAGACAAGGAAGATCTCGCTGCAAGGCTGCCCCCATGATTTCTGCCCACCTCTTCAGTTTCAAAAGTACAGGAAGACAAATGCTTATGCCATGATAACTTCCACAGAGAATTTTAGAGGTAAAGAATGATTGTGAATTACAAAATATAAAAACAACGGGTGAAGCAAAAGAAACAACACAGTTAAATGAGTCAGATACGACTTCTGTTCCAAAACAATTTATCTGGAATTAAAAGCCAGGGAAATTGTTTTGGAATAGAAGACCTATTGATCCATTTAAGTGTATTGTTTCTTTTGCTTTATCCACAGTTTTTGAACAATAAAACATTCCATGTACATCACACTGACTTTTTGAAAGGGTTCTATACTTAAGGGTATACTGCTAGAGTAGGAAATATAATGAACATACACAAAAAATCCAGATGGAGGAATTAACACAAAGGGAAGCTCTTTTTCTCTGCAGCTTTAGAAGGCATTCCAGAATCTTCTTGCTAACACTATTTCTAGTCCTCCAGATGAAGACCTGCTGCCAAAAGCCTCAGGGATTGAGGAAGAGGACTGTTCAGCTCTGAAAAGGAGTGGATTCAAGTCTCTGCCCCAAAGAGAAGGAAGTGACAGAAATCCTATTGAGGGCAATCTAAGCAGCACTCCGTCAAACACATATTTTAACAGGTGTACAGTAATCATTATTGGATGATAAAACATGCTTTTACATAGGACACTAATGGGTGAATGAAAAAAATGAAAAGGAGAAAAGCAACTATGGACCTTTAACTTTTTAAAAATAGGTATTAAAACAGAGAGACCTCCAGGAATGGCACATCAATCTTGCATACAGTCATTTTCATACATCATTACAATTAAATGAAGTCAATTGCAATTTACAGTTGTAACTATCAGTCTTTCCATAATTATTCTCAATGAATCAAAGTTACTTTAAAATCTATAAAGGCAACTTTGATCAAAAGCCTAATCAACGCACTGAACAAATGTTGGCCAACTAAACCCGAGTCATCATCACAGCTTGAATTAGTCAATCAACAAATTATAAATGCCTGGTATATACTTTGCTAATAATATTTAAAGAAGCTATTGAATGAAAATGGAACAGATAATTCCTTTTGCCTTTCTTATTATGGAACATTATTCCATAGGCTCGGAAGAAATGGACAATGTGTATGAACAGGAAGAAAAATCTCCTTCTATTGATCCAGGCCATTCATGCTTTGAAAACACTACAAGGAGGAATACTGGAAGTGAACAACTGACTATGGAAATACTTTGGATTCTTTAATCATAGTATGAATTTCCATGAAGACAGATACCTGACAAGAAATGGAATATAGCTCATGAGAAGGATATACCGGGAAGATACTTTGTAAGTCTAATCCAAAGGTCTTTAAACTGAATCCTATGCCAGGCAAAGGAGGCATTTTATATATAAACATTTGGGCATGAAGGTGCCCAAATACAGGAAAAGGGAAACAATTATATTATTGGGGAGGTATGCTACACACAAAAGTTTTTTTCAAACTGTATTCCTTGATATCCTAGGACAGTGATGGCGAACCTTTTAGAGACTGAGTGCCCAAAAACTGCCCCGCCCACCCCACCCTGCCCCCGCTCTGCCCCAGCCCCGCCTGCCCACAGGGCCACCCCCACCTCCACGGCCCACCACACATCGTCCAGGTGGCCCAGCAGCGCCATGGCAGCCACGCCCTCCACCCGTACCCCACAACATCATCTGCGCACGACAGGGCACGAGGGTGGAGTCTTGTCCCTGCTGCCCAGCTGCCATATCCTTGGCTGCACTGCTACACGCGGGCCGCACCCGGGGCGACTCTGCTTCGGGGGGCTGCTGGTGAGGACAGGACCGTGGGAGGAGGCGGGGCTGGGGTGACGATGCACGTGCCCACAGAGAGGGCTTTGAGTGCTGCCTCTGGCATGCGTGCCATAGGTTTGCCACCACTGTCCTAGGATGACCCCAGGAGAACTTGATGGGGTCCTACAGGAAACTAAGGAAAAAAATGCCTCTTGATCAGGCATTCCAGGAAACAAAAACATTCACATCAGGGAAAAAAAAAAAAGAAAACTCATATTATAGACTACCAATCTGTCCAATCTGGACATGGCATTTGGGACATGATAGTAATGGATTGCTCATTGGAAAATAGGTTGCACTAGAAGATCTCAAATGTATGTTCCAATCCTTATGTTTTATGATTATATAAACTTTGCTTTCCAGAATCTGCTATCATGTTTAAAAAACACATGTTCTCAAATAAGACTACAATTCAAAGCAACTCACATATAATAGCTTAGTTTGAATGTAGCAATAAACTGTACTCTATTTTTACATGATGAGTCTGCAGATTTTGCATGCATCCTTATTCTTTCATGCATCTTTTCAATTAGCCAGTGTTTAGTCAGCTAAACCTTAATATCAACTAACCTTAACATTAAATATAGTTTAATTAAAATCAGTTTGTTGATTTAGAATAAACCATAATTTGAATTAATTATAGTTTGAGGTTGGACATAATTCTAAGATACAATTATTTAAAAATGAAAACTAAGCCTTCTGGTAGACTTTTCTTGGCTTGGAAGGGAGAATTACAAGAGGCTTAGAGTCATATATGTAAAGATAAGAAGTTATTTAGTGATACATTTTAATAAATGAGTTTATTTTTATACACTTATCATTTCTTTCAAATTCTTTTTAAATTCATTGCAATGAAGCTGAACTCTCTAAATTGGAAATTAAGACATAGCATGCAGAATGCAGACGAAAGCTTCATTTCTTTTTCAGGGGTGGATGGGGGAGGATATTCCCAAACAGTTTTTTAAACCTAAAAAAAGAAAGTTTGGATTCATTAGTGATACCTGATGGAATGACAGGCAATGCTTCAAATGTCTATGGAGATTCTCGGTCATCCAGGCTATGGCTGTCCCCAAAGTGCTTTTTTCAAAAGGTAACTGGACTTTCATTTTTCAGAAAAAACATGTGAAAAAACTATAAATAAAACACTGACCTGATTAATGGAATTAGCTGCACACGATGACAGGCCTGTTCCAAGGGTGACCAATAGGAAGCAGCTTAAGTCAAACGGCACGGGTGCAAGCGCAAATCCAGCTGAACCCGTACCTAAAACCAGGACTGTAATATAAACAAACAATTCAGCACTAATAAACTAACAGAAGATAATTTATATTTTTGAATCCATTACACATCAGTTACATTATCAATAAGGTAGTAATGGACAATAATGGACAGCAGTTCTACATTTGTGGAACAGCAACAATCCTACCTTTTGCCTTAACAGAATGCAGGAAAAACAGGGCAAATTCTGATGAACTGGTTCCAGTATTTTCAAATAAGTAGCGTTGCTACAAAACAGTTACGACCTTTCCAGCATCCCCATGATCATGTGATCAAAATTCAGCTGCTTGGCAACTGGTTCATATTTGACCACTGCTGTGTCCCAAGATCATGTGATCACCTTTTGCAACCTACTGACAAGTGAAGTCAATGGGGAACTTAACAACTGGGTTACTGACTTATCAACTGCAGTGATTCACTTAACAACTGGGGCAAGAAAAAGTCATAAAATGGGGGCAAAACTCACTTAACAAATGTCTCAGTTAACAACAGAAATCTTGGGTTCAATTGTGGTCATAAGTCGAGGACTGCCTGTACTGACAGTTATTCATCCACATTTTATCTGTATTTATTCATCCACATTTAGAGGCCACTTGACTCTGTAGCAACTCTTGATGGCTTATGAACAAAAAGAACAACATAGAAATAGGTGGGAACACCTAAAATTACAAATGGCATATGTTGCTGACTTCCCTATTTGGTTTTTATCAAGTTTTGCTATATGTACCAGGTTTCCATTAATAAGGCATATATTTTCTTTTACAATGCGACTGGAAGTTTAATTAAAACTTATCAGGGAGGCTGCTTTAAACTTATGTATAATAGCAAGACACTAGCCCATTTACAAATAGGGAAATGAGGAGCAGTCTGTGTAACATTATTATTCTAATGCCCCTAAAGAATTCTAGCACACCAGAGCAAGTGTTCTAATTAAAGTCTTCATTGATTTCTCTAAGTTAATTTCATTGCAACTTATCAGGATCTCATTAAAGTAGCTGTAATACATTCTACTTTATCCAGTTGGGTGGCTATTGCTGTAAGCTGGCTCAGTACCTTATACCCATAAACAAAGTTCTTATGTCAAGTACATCATCTCAGTCTTTATAAAGCAAATAAACATGTCTTTACATTTCAGGCCGACTGAAAATATTCTCATGTTAAGCTTCCTATAGCTTCTTGAAGGGTATAGTTGTCACAGAACATGGTGAACTCACCCCAGATAAGGGTTTAGCACAGGGGTAGTCAACCTTGGCTCTTTTATGACTCGTGGACTTCAACTCCCAGAATTCCTGAGCCAGCCATGCTGGCTCAGGAATTCTGGGAGTTGAAGTCCACGAGTCATAAAAGAGCCAAGGTTGACTACCCCTGGGTTAGCATTTCGCATATTTATTAATTATAACTTCTGCATACCATAGACTCTATCAGGATTTCTGAAGATTTATGCATATCAAGAATAAAGCAATCATAATGTCCTACAAAGAGCATCATAACTTTTGGCATCCATTTCAGGAACAATTGCATAATACTCTCTGGAACAATTTCACTTGAACACCCTGTTAAAAATCAGCAGGGAGAGTTCAGTCTGAATTTCTAAAAGTAAGGAATTCCTTACGAATGGAAAGTATATTCAAGAGCCATTGTTTCCTCACTCTCCTTCCCTAAATCTCAAGTCTTAAGCTTCCTAATAGGGAAGAATATTCTGTTCAGAGTAGGAAATCTTCTAAGTACCTAGGAATTGAGCCACATAGGGCTCTAGAGGAGACAACCCACTCTCTGAATTGTACTTGCAAACTGAATGGCAATCAGTAAGGTACCTCAACATTGGTGCTACACAGAATATCCCAGAGGCTTTCACTCATCAGAAGATGGGCTTCTGCATTATGTACTAACCTCAGTTTCCAGACAGTCCCTAAAGGCAGCTCCATGTAGAATATAATTCAGTAGTTCTTGCTAGAGGTGATAAGGTCATGGGTGATTGTTGTCAGGACCTCATACTTCAAAGAGAACTATAACTGATATACCAGTTGAATTTGTACAAACACCCCTACCCAGGCCTTCCACTTTTGTATCTAGTAGTAACTATGGATCTAGAATGACTCTTCAGCCACAAATTTGTTCCTTAAAGAACACTGTTATCTGGCAGTGTTATCTTGTCCACAGTAATAACATCAGCCGAACAATAATCGGATCGAATTTTAAAAATAGTACCTCTATTTACAGTATAAGGGTTTAATTTCAGTTTGTTCCTTCCTGTACACAACATAAGGAATGGCCTTGAAGGACTTGTGGAAGTCACTACCAAGGCAATGGTCAGAACAGCAGAGCTGGGGCCTAGGGCAAGTAATTAGTTTTGGAAAATGCCTCAGACAAGCCCTTCCCTACTATATGAGGGAAGCAAGAAGCACATTCAGTCTTGCAAGATTATGTTACTATAGGTAGCTATTACAGTAATAGTCCTGAGTTATATGGCATTGGATTCTTAGTCTAGCCTACTTGTAGGACTGATACTTCTCTTCCAGTCCTCCAGAGCCTCCAGACATTGGGTCAAGACTTCCATGGGATCCCCACTATAGCCTAGGTAATGATGTATATCTGAATATTATCACCTCACCCTATCCAGCCGACTGACATCCCCCAAAGTTTTCATATGCCTAAAAAGTAGGGGTAAAAGGCATGGATCTTGCTTTTAAAGGAACTTTAAAGGAAATTCTGGGATCGCCTTCCAGCTTCCAACCTCCTGACTAAATCCACTCAGTTAGGCAGCAGTGGAACCAATGTAGTATACTACTGGGGATCCTTATTTAAAGGCTCTATTTGGGATTGACAACTCCACTGCTAAGCAAAGCTGTCACTAGTTTTTGAAATCACCTGACCACCACTGTGCTTTCCGGTTCAAAAGACGCAAGACTACCCAGTTTCTCACTTTCGGCTTTTGTTTGCCTCCTAACCACTCCCTCACCCTTTGGAATACTCAAGTCCTGCTTACTGTTTTGTACACATCAAAAGCAATGCAATCAATCACAACTTGAGGCTGGGTGCACTAGGCAACCAACATGCTTTCCTCTTGAACTCTCTTCCTCTCCAATTTCTCTGCTCTGTGAGGGTAGGAAGAGAGAGAGAAAAAAAGCAAGCAATCTCTCCTTTGCTTGAGCCTTATCGCCCACATAGCAGAGCAGAGAGATGGGAGACAAGGATTTTAAGCGAGTAAGTTGTTTGCTCTTTTAGACATCAAAAGAAAAAAAAATTGACCTATGACCAGTCCTTGCACTTACTGTGTAACCACTGCAGAATCCCCACAGTCATGCGATCAAAATTTGGAAGCCTGGCAACCAGCATATCTTTCCAGAGTTACATGATAGCAATTCACAACCCTTCCTAGCCAGCTTCTGACAAGCATAGTCAAGGAGGGAAGCCAGATTCACTTAATGATCATGTGATTCATTTAATGACCATAGCAAAAAAAGGTTGTACAATCAGGTATTTCTCATTTAATGATCAGCTCCCTTTGTGACAGAATTGGGGTTGTAAGTTGTTTGCTCTTGCGTACCTGAGAACAACACAATCAAGCCGGCAGCAGAAAAGGGTCAGAGAGAATTCCTATTTGAAATTGATTGGAAAGAAAAAAAGTTTTCAAAACAATCCTGTAAGAGGTTTGCACAGTTTACCCACAGCTTCCAGCCCTGGGCTTTCTTGCAGTCCCTTTCTTTCCAATCAATCTGCTCCCGGTGAAGGGAGAAAAAAAAAAAGGGGGGGGGGGGAATGCAGGTCAGGCACAGGACAATACATACTGACTGTAATGGTGATCACGTGACTTTTTTTTTTTTGCTATTCATAGAATATGATACTTATTTTTTTTCTTCCTCCAAATTCAAAGTAGTACAATTTAATGGCCTACTTAAGACATAGATATAATACTCTAACTTTGCTGTCCTGAAAACTCAAGCAAAAAAGTAATAATAAATGACTACAGTGGCTACATAAGTAAAATCAACACGATACTTATATGATAAGTATGTGCACAGTAAAGGAGAGCAGCAAGATATTTAGAAAATTAAATTAAAATAAAAGTTGACATTTTAATGCTATCTGCTATCAAGTCGCTCAGCTGGAAAAAAATATTTTAACACTATAGGTAGTCATTTAGCAACCATAGTTGTTGAGCAGAAAATCCTGTCTTGCAACAGGCTTACAACCTCACTTCCCTTTGTGTTATTTTTTTTACACCATCATAACTTTAAATGGATGCTAAACGAAGCAGTTAGTAAGCTACATATGTAACAGATTTGTCACTAATACACATATTATAATATTTGGAAAAATTTGAGGATTCAAATTATTTTTGGACCGTGAACATGAATGTTATTTTTTTTTTTTAAAAAAAGCGATGGGCTCTGTTATAGAACAGCTGCTGTAGGAACATAGCACTTATCACAAATTGAATACCAGTTTGTCAGGAGTGCAAATTGATATAAACAAATAACTTGTCAGAAACCTAAATGCAATACAGAAGTAGGATCCGATAACTGAAATAAATCAATGTATCCGCTCCAAAATAGCTACTCACAAAGATAAGCCAATTACTATTCTCAAATTATTTCTAAATAAAATTAATTTGTAATTCTTCATGCATTCAAGCGAACATATTTGAATACATGAAGATCTCTCTTACCCTTCCCCGTTATACTTTTTATTCTTCTCACTTCAAGGACTTAGCGGACAAGGAATGTGGACAACTTGTAGGCCCTGGAAGCATTTTTGACTGTTCCATCAAACATGGACAGCTATAGGCAAACATGGATAACTGCCAAAAATCAGCTATACTGTTTTTCAACATTTTAACACAACTCCCCCACAAAAACATATAGGTGATTCTCAGTTAACAACCACTCATTCAGCAAGCATTCAAACTTACAACACTGCTGAACAAGTGGTACTTACAGTTGGTTCCTAAAGTTCCAGGTGTTATAGAACCCCACATTCACAGGCACTTTGCCAAGTGGGCCTGTATTCTTGACCATCTCAGTGTCCCATGGTCACATGATCACAATTTACGACTTTCCCATAAGCAAAGTCAATGGGGAAGCCAGCAGGAAATCAGAAGTTACAGTCACATGACATTCTCATTTAATGACCAATGGTATTTCACTTAATCATGGCAATGGGTAGTGCTGGAACATTCACTGATAAGTGGTTTAGTCACATGATTTTGTGCTTCAGGACTGCATATCTTGGCAATGGAAATTTTGGCCCAATTACCAACATTAAATAAGGACTATCTATGCTTTTTTAAAATATACTTTAAAAAACAGTTTCTGCCCATCCTTACTGCCATTCTCCACCATTTAACTAAATAGCTCTCTGATGGTACAGAGGCACCAATGTTCCCTGGCAGAATGAGTATCATAGCAGAAGCATACAGCAAAAACAGCTGTTTTGATGCAGAGATATTCTAGCAAATACCTCAAAATCTTAAAAGCCATTGGAAAAATTGTGGATCTCCCTCCCTCTCTGCTGTGTGTGAAATATATTCAGAGCGCAGTTAAAAGAAAATCAATACAAACCTTATTCATCTATAGAAGTTTTTCCCCAAAATTCAATCTTAGTTTAAAAATAGAATTGTCCACGCTTTTAAATGAAAATGTTCTCTAATATAGAACAAATAACAAGTTTAAATCCAAAGAAATTTCAAGACAGCTTATGAAGAACTATATTTCAAATACTGATATTTTGTGAGGAACAACTGAAAGCACAAAAAAATGGAAATCTGTAACTGTGCCTCTTTATGTGAGAATATGAAAACCAACTTTCTAATGCTATATTTCCTTACATGAAGTGACTAATAATAGACAAGGAAATAAGGCTGCAATAATGCCAAGCTGAAATTTACTGAATTCAGAAAGTCTTCGTTTTTGTTAAATAGATGTAAGATTAGACCAGTGCTTTCCAAACCTTTTCCTTCATTACTCAAAACTGATACTTTGAAAGTCCTTTTTACCCAAGGTAGGTAAAACACTTTAAGTTAATTTAAATGTCCCTGTTGTGATTGGGTAATGGGTTTGTGTGTCACTGTTGGAAGATAAACCACTTCTACTAAATTTTGGGTAACTTATCAATATTTGGAAAGCACTGTATTAGGCTGCAGAACTTTTTTTAAAAAAAAAAAGATTGAAAAATCAAAATAGAAAAAAATACATGTAATGAAAACAGTTCCATAAAAGAAAAGAAAAAGACCTACCTGTAAGTTTAATTTTGGTCAAACGAGCCAAAATGTTAGGTAAAGTATCCAAATTTAATTTCATTTCTTTCCAATCTTTTTCTTCTTTCAATGCTGATTCTTCCACAGTTTTTGCAACAGTAGCAACTGCTGAGAACTTCGGTATTTCTTCATTCATCACTGGTTTCTCTGAGAAGGGAGGCCGAAGAGGTGAAATTGATTTCACCTCATGGACAATCATTGTGTCTTCATTTGAACGCTGTCCTTCCAGGCAAGGTGGTACAGTTGATTCTGGCTTCAGCTTTGCTTGCTGATAAAGTGTTTTCTTATGCTGCATTGCATACTGGAAAAGAAAAACACTTTTTTGTAAAACAGCCGTTTTAACATATTTGGGTTTCTTTAAATCATATGGTCGTTTTCACTTCCTATGTGGTTCTGAAAAAGTCCCACTGTATTGATTGAATTTATGTATGATAATTTCATGGAGGCTTTTTTCTCCCCAGTAACACATCCAGGGATACTTCTTTATCTTACAGCTATTTTATATTTTAAAACACTAATACAAGATTATTACTAAGATTATCTTAAATTCTATTTGAATGTTTCATACTCTGTGAGTCATTAAGCATTATCCGTTTGGCTTACAGAAATACACAAAAAAATAAAAGATGTGCCTGTTTTTCTAGCTACATTCTATCAACCACACTTGAATGCTACCTTAAATAAATTACAGTTCTTCCTTGCTATACAAATGCTATCCATGGATGATGTGACTAAATATATATCCCAAGAGCAGCAACTGTTTAATTCTATCTCAGTGTTACTTTTTTCTCCCTTTGGGATATATAACATACGTATCTTCATCTGCATTTGTAAATTCCAAGTGCCATCATATCCAAGTGGATATGAGAGTAAAGAAAATGTGCTGGCAGAGACAGTAAGAAAGAAGAGGACAACCAGCAGCAAAGTGGATGGTGATGGGCAAAATGTTGAAAGGCTTAAAAGACCAGATGGTTTATCTATGTTGTTGCTAAGAGCTAACAATGACATGATGACTCATAATCAATTAATCAATCCAGAAACTGTACAGTTGTAATCAATCCAGCTTTTGAGGTGGTATGCAATGTTATATAAGCTTACTTTTCGCCTGAAGAAGTTCAGCTGTTGAAATGTAACTCCCTTTACTTTGATGACTCTAAAGAAACAGGCAAACTTGCATGGCATCTGTTGCATGATGTTTTTTCTTGGATGTGCTGCAAAAATTTTCCTGCAAAAGAGAATTCCTCTTAAAAAAACATTTACAATAAACATTACAGCAAACTATAGGTGTATGCTCCAAACATAATACAGGGGACGTTCTGCCAAGCCATCCTATAAGAACAATTCAGCAAAACAAAATTCAAAACATTGCTGTTCTCAGTTGCCCAAATAAAGTCTGCAGGGATCCCAGTGCAAGAAAGGTAACACTGATTACCTTCTTCCAGGACGCTATTTTGAAGACAGTTTATGTCACCAGTCCACATGCTTCCCAGTATCCATTCATCCTTTTTTCTTCCTTCCCCTCTACCACTGACACAGGCCATTTACTTATTTAATAACATTGATATATTGTTTCTTTGTAGTGCTACTCCCAGCAGTTTACCTAAAATAAAATGCAAATAAAAACTATAAAACAATAAAATACAAATTAAAAAGCACATTAAATGAAAAATATGCACTAGAAACCTTTTACCCATAGTACCTAATCTCAGTGGCAACCATTATAGTCCAGATGCTCTCAAATAATAATGATTTCATAGTTTTATCAAATAGGAGCAAACTAGGAACCACGCTAATCTTGCACTGATCTTCCCAGTGTTTTCTCTTCCCACCTCCTTCTGCCTCGTCTCAGTTGTCAGGACCAGTGTTCCAATGTGTTATATCCCACCAGCCTACCTCCCCCTGATCTTTTCCCTTCTCTTAGCTGCCACTGTGTCCATCCTAGGGTGGCATGTTCTAGTGTCCTGCCTACTAGTATATTTCCTTTCCTTCTTTTCCTCAGTTGTCACTGCCAATATTTTTAGGGGTTTCTCCATTCCTAAACCACAACACTTGTGCAAGAATAGCTATGGTCTAAAACATATGGTCTGAATCAGTTTCAATCCATATTCAACCACACACTTTAATTCGGACATAAACCATTTCAAAAATAGTTGTTCTGTGCAGGACATTTTGCATTTCCTAAAACAAAATTATATAGATCTTCAAATTCAATAGCAAGAGGATACACAAGAGAAATAAGATTTTTTTAAAAAATGAAATTACATACAATTTACCAAATACAAAGGAAAATAATTTAGTATGTATTTTCAAACAATCAAGCTAAATTCTTTCACTAGGCCCATTGGCTTCAAAATTGTTTACAATTAGTCAAGCATCAATAAGATGGAACATTTGCTTAAAAGTACCTCATAATAAAAGTACCTCATAAAAGTACTGAACATTAACATCAGGATTGTTTTATTTTATTGTTGAACCAGCTGCAACATGTTTATTACAGAACTTTAAAATTACTTGCTATGATATAAAGCAATCATAAAACTTCAGCTTTTCAATAATCATAGTAAAAAGCCATGACAAATAAACAAAATGCTGAAACAATGTTTTAAGAATCCAAAGTATGTGTTCCTGCTCAAACTCATATCTATAGATCTGCTAAATACCCCTAAAAAGCAGTTTCAGTAATCTCAAACTAAAAAATGTAGCTCAGGGTTGAAATGGGTGTGTGTGTGTGAACTTGGTGCTCTCTGAGCTGGCTTGTTTTCTTGCAGATGTTTCATTACCCAAACTAGGTAACATCACCAGAAAATAAGCCAGCTCATAGAGTACCAAGGATACCCCTATATTTTATATATACATAAAATATGCTTCAGAGCTAGTTTGTTATAGTGGTTAAATAACCTGGGTAGAAAGCCAGAAATGGTGAGTTGTAATTGTATCTTATGCACAAAGCCAGCTGGCTGACTTTGAGCCAGTTACTCTGTCTCAGCCCCAGGAAGGAACCAATGGCAAGCCACTTTTGAAATCTTGCCAAGAAACCTGCCAGGACTTATCGATGCTAATGTGAGAAGTCAAAAACTGACTCAAAAGCATAAAATATGCTTCTACATATGTGTTAATTTTGACATAAGTATTAAAGCATACAAGTCTTTAATGGAATATGTCTCCAGGAAGCAGAGAGACACTCTTTTAGCCACACATTTTAAAATTAGAAACTATTTTACAGTGAAGGGGAAAACTTAAAACATTTACCTTATTAAAAGTTTTACTTTCACTAATTAGCTCTATGAGATTAAGGAGAAATATTTTGGTGTGTGGTGCAAGAAAATGATGAATTAGAAAAAAATGATGCTTGACAAGATTGAGGATTGCATAAATACGCAGAAACAAACAAATTGCCAAAAAAATCCTTGCAAGAGCTTTGATTTAATGTTAGGACTGATCAAAATCGCTATTATTTAAATAATAAAATAATAATAATAATAATAATAATAATAATAATAATAATAATAATAATAATAATAATAATAATAATAATGTGACCAATCTTCCTCCATTAGGGAGGACAGTCCTTCTTTTGTACTCATTTAAATAATAATAGGCATGTAAGCATAATTACAATATAAAATGTTATTGTTACAAATGTTTTTTATTATGCATTTATCATATTATAGTGTATTCTGTATTGTTGCAATGAATAAAATGTTTTATTTACGATATTTTTTTTCTTCAATTTATTTGTGTCGTCCTTCTCATTCTAAAAAAGTTGGTCACCTTAATAATAATAAAGTTGGAAAGGACCTTGGAGGTCATCTAGTCCAACCCCCTGCTCATGGACTATACCATTTCAGACAAATGGCTGTCCAGTCTCTTCTTAAAAACTTCCAGTGTTGGAGCATTCACCGCTTCTGGAGGCAGGTTGTTCCACTGGCTAATTGTTCTAACTGTCAGGAAGTTTCTCCTTAGTTCTGTGCTGTCACCGGGATTTAGAAGTCGATTCAGGATAAGTAACATGAAATAAATCGAAAATCATTCTTGTCTTTAATTATGGCTTAACGCCTCTTATTAGCTAAAGCTTAACAACCGCCCGCGGATGATCTCAGATTTAAACCTCTGAGCTTACGGAGTCTTGGAAAGCAATTAGACAAGCAGCGTTGAGCTCGACGGGCTGCCTAAAAACACGACCTTGACCTCCAATCACCCTTTGAAACATCTGGAGAAAAAGCAGAAATCTGACGAAGAGAAAAGGATGGGCGGAAGAAGCATCCCCCACCAACCATTCCAATCCACCGGCTTCTATGGTATAATAAATCCAGGGACGGGCTCTAAAGTGGAAGCAAGCAAGTAAGTCTGAGGCATCGACCTTTCCCATACAGTTGTTACCTTGAGCCGCCACCACCACCACCCTCCAACCGCCGCGAAGTAAACAAAACCTACGGTCGGGTGAGGTGTTTCAATCTCAGTGCCGGCCGTAACCGGAGGTAAAGCGGATAACGGAGGGACCGGCCCCGGCGCTCTGCCTGCCCTTCATTTCCTTCAACACGACTCTCTGGGCGCCGCCATCTTGGACAACAGAACGACCTTTCCCGGCTACGGATATCTTTTTGTTTCCGGTTCATTAGGTGGGACTTCCGGAGAGCGAGCAATTTTGGGTTGTAGCCGAAATGAGCTCGGGGAAGGGTTTATTGGCAGGGTTGGCGCCGCCTTCCCTCCCCTCCTCCCACGTGAGATTTTGCCACGCGGTGCTCTCTAAAGGCTGGCAGAGGGTTGCCCTGCTGCGGAAGTGGGTTGGTGCTTCTAGTGTTGCAACACGGAATCCCTTTTCATGCTTGCCGTCATTTTTTTTTTTAATGGATATCGAGTCGGCAAAGGTGGTTTCTTTTCCTGCAACAGAAGCCCGGTCAGAGATGGAAGCGACTGAGACTGCATGGCTGACCAAGGCTTTGACTTGATCGCTAAGCTCTTCCAAACTCTCGCACGTCATACTCGGTCCTTATCATTTCTCTTAAGAGCTGGTTTACTTAGGGGACTTGTGGCAAGAGGTCATGTCCGTTTTTTAGGCGATGCTTTTAATTTGGGGTTTTCCAAATTGAGTGTCCAAATGCTTTTTAGTTTGGGGGTGTTCAGATAGAGTGGGAAGGCTTCCTAAAAGTGGAGGGAAGGAAAAGTAAATGACATGTTCAACTGAAACTTGTTCAATTAACTTTTCCACAAAATCTTTGCTATAAGATCTTGCATGAAAAAATCATTTAGAAATAGCCCTAGAGTCTAGAGCATAGCTGGCTCAGGAATTCTGGGAGTTGAAGTCCACGAGTCATAAAAGAGCCAAGGTTGCCTACCCCTGGTCTAGACAGATTCTAAGCTTTGGGAGGATTGTTAACACTGAAAAGTAGAATATAAATACATTTCAAATGGAATGAGAAATATGTTTAGTCTAAGCTATTTTTCTTTGCTGGGGAAGGAAATGCATTTTTACACAATTCAGGACTTTAATTGTAGAGTTGATGCCCAAATAATAGGCTACATACTCATTAAGAAAATTAATTTAGTTGTAGGTCAAATGTTCCATTCACAATAAAAAAAAATACAGACTGTTAAGTTTTTCCATTTGCTTACAAAATTCTTGGCATAGACTGTGTTTAAACAAATCAATGCTGTTTTATGTATGTCTGCAGAAATAGCTACTCACACATTTTTATTGTACCATCTTTGGCTTCCTTCGTGTTCCTACTGTGGAATAAAAGAGGGGCAAAGAGAATTTTCCAAAATTCCTGTGTCTAGTACTTAATGCTTTTCCTTGGCAGACCTGGAATGACTAATAGCTTAATTTAATTCTGAGGTACATAGCCTTTGATTAGTTATATATATTTCAATTGCATATGCTGACTTTTATTTTACTCATTATACAAATTGCTTTTTTATTTGAATTGTTTAACATCATTTGCATTTTTGTGCCTAAGTTAGCATAAACATTCACAAGTGTTGAATGTTATTTGCTTTTATAGCAAATAGTCTTGGTTCAGCATACTTGAAGAAATCTTTCCTCCCATCCTAGTTTTCCACTGATTTGTTTAAAAAAATTCCTTTTCCTGGCCCCAAAAGAAGGTTTCTGTCCCTAACTAAATTATTGTTTATCTTATGCTATCTCTGAATAGTTTATATTCAGTTTGAAACAATACATAATGTAATACAACTTCCATCTCTGTACCAAGGAACATAATATAATACCGTACTACACAAACATCCCACTGCAAGACAGAACAGTTATATTGCATATCAAAGCCAAGATTTGACAGAATAGCCAATTAGATTGCTTTCCTGAGTTGCAACAGTATATCACTTGATCTCCATCTTATTTTGCTGCAACCTGGTTTTTGACCAGCATTTGGCTTGCTACATTGATCATTTTAAGGTGAAGAATGTTTGAAATGATTTTATTTGCCAAGCTTATTTTTTTTTTATTTGGTTGGATTTTTAAATGTAAATTTAGTGACGTATCTGTAGAAAAAGTGCTGAAAGCTGTTATCCATAACCAAAACCTTGAGCTTATTCATATATCTTATATCCTGACCAAGATACTTTAAAGTACTTGTGTAATTTGTCTATATTTGATTTGTTTTGGTAGCTAGATTCTCTATTTTAATTACTACAAGCTTGGTCTTGAGCCATCTGTTCCAAATAAGATCCTCAGTTAAACAAATTCACATAAATAAATAAATAGGAAATATTTCCATTTTTAAATGCAGTGTTAAATCCTGACCACATGGAATTATATTGCACAGTCTTTCCATGAGTCCACATATAGTACCATGAATCAAAGATTGCAAATTGTACAACTATAAATCATAAAAGAGCAGTCATATGCTACATCCCATTCTTGAGAAATGTGTATATCTTCATATAATGAGATATATTCCTGTAAAAGATGACTGGGCTAAGCCTGAGGGGGGGGGTCAAGCATGTCATCGGTTTGGAGTCCCTTTGTGCCCATAAGAGATTTAAGTCCAGCCCTCCTTTAATTCCCTAGATCCTTATCTACCACCAATTTGCCTTGACCACTAGGAGTTCAAATTCTTGTCTAGAGGCAGCAGGGAATAAATTTGTACTCGTTTTGGACCTAACCGTGGCTCCTGATATTTTGCTTCTGACAATTCCAAATTTTTGTTATACAATTCAGAATCACATTCACTCTTGCCAAAATATTAATTAAACCAAACCAATACATTAATGGGACAAAATATGTTTGCAAGTATACTCTCCTTTTCACAATTCCAGCAAAATTAATTTGATAGCCCAGTTTTTAAAAACACGCTGTGAGATGTCCAATAAAGATTAAAAAAATAGGTAAGGCATCATTAATGAGTTCCATGTGATACATTGAAATTATTTCTACAAATTTAATAGTGTCTATTTAATAGTGTCTAAGCAGCTTCATCATCATTTACAATAAGAATAACTTTGCTCACTAATCTTTTGACTTATTATAGTTTTCACTAAACAAACTGCTGATTTATTACAGTCATTATATATTTACTGCATCCTTAATAGTTGAAATGATGCTAATGTAGTTGCTGTTTCAATCCAGAGGGCAATAATTTACCATTTATTTCTTCTTATTCGCAGAATGCAATTCATTATTATTCTATATCAGGAAACTAAGCTTCGGTTTAGCAACTTTTAACTAATTCTGGGTATTTTACATTCTAAAGTTCCTTAATTTTACTTTTCAACATTTATTTGTTTTATTCTTCCCCCCCAAAGAAGAAACAGTAATATGTCTATTAATATATGCTTTAAAAGAATTTCAGGCAATCATTGAACACTTAGAACAGCGGTCGCCAACTGTTATGGCTTGGTGGCCCGATTGGGTGGGGGAGACGGGAACCAGTATGCACCCACTAGTAGTGGGACAAAAATATGCTTGCACAAGTTGAGCTATGTGCAATGGTCAGCTGGTCTCACGAGCAGGTTCCAAATGGGCCACGGCCTGGTAGTGGGTTGCAGCCCAATGGTTGGGGACCCCTGTCTTAGAATGTCTGTTATATTTTGAAAATATTCAAATTCTTGTTTGATACGTGTTATAAGATGTTTTATCAAATAATTCATTTGAATACTCACTGAAAAAATAGGATGATTTTTCCTTATAGTCACTGAGGTTACTAGAGCATGATTGGGTATTGTAGGATCTATCTGTCTGAATGACAAAAAAAATGAAATACTAAAATAATAGTCAAGTGAGAAACAAGTCTGATACAGGGGGGAAAAGTATATTTTTCTTGCAAGAAATTTAAAAGTCTTTTAAAAGAGCCCTGGTGGTGCAGTGGTTAGAATGCAGTACTGCAGGCTACTTCTGCTGATTGCCGGCTGCCAGCAGTTTGGCAGTTCGAGTCTCACCAGCTCAAGGTTGAGTCAGCCTTCCGTCCTTCCGAGATCGGTAAAATGAAGACCTAGATTGCTGGTGGCAATATGCTGACTCTGTAAACCCCTTAGAGAGGGCTATAAAGCACTGTGAAGCAGTATATAAGTCTAAGTGTTATTGCTATTGCTATATATCTGGTGATATTTATCATTAGATGAAATGAAACCTCTGCAAGTAACAACCAAGCTCAAAGACCACTAAGGACTCTAAGTTGTCATGTATCTATCAAATTAAATTTCAACATAAAAGTTTTAATATTTACTATGAACAATAACTATATTTAGTTGGAACAACATTAAGAAGATACGATGGAAAATTGGATTAAACTCCCAGTCATATTTACATGATCTTCAACTAAATTAAATGATATTCAAAATACAAAACAAAATGTACATATAGTCCTTGGTAGGGCTATAATTATAAATACAAAACAGTAAATCATTAAATCATGGACAAAGAATATTCTGGATCACTTATTTCTTGTTCTACTACATATTTTAAGATTTGATAGTAAAAATAACTTTCCACTTCACTTTCCCATTGACACATATTTGGTCAAACCCTCTTCTAGATAAAATACCTTTCTTGTGTGGAAGGGTATATGTTTTTTAATTACCCACTTTAGTAAATCATCTATCTCCTTAGAGGCATATCTGAAGACTTTTACATTCCAGAAAACAGCTAAAGATAATATAAGTTTTAAAAATATCAATCAAATTTACTAGATAATCCCTAGAACTGCCAGATTAATGTCGTAGAACTGAGCTTTTATAGTATGTGAAACATCCAAACTTGCCTATTTTTTTCACTTCATTATCAAATCTAAACTACATACATGATTTTCATCATGTTTTGAAATTCTAAACCCCCTCTCGCCCAAAGTATATTCTGGAATTACATATTAATACATGAACATTCAGTTTCTTAGCAACAAATGCACTCAGATAATAAATACCGCCAGGCAAATAAAAGTGACCCCACAGACTGAAGGTAATAATATCTTGCTTATTTAATACCATGGGATTTTAATCTTGGTGTATGATGTGGTTCTGGCCCCTTCCTTTCGTAAGTATTTGTAACTTTCCATTCATAAGGGCTATGATCTTGTACATAAAACCAGTAGAGGGGTAAGGGATAACAGTTTTCCTTGGCATAAAAACTAT